CAGATCATAAATATGTACAGGGGATCTCCCGGAATGCCGTCCCGTAGTCCCAAATTAAAAGTGCATGGGGATCTCCTGGAATACCGTTCCGTAGTCCCAAAGTAAACATACAGCAACAACAAGAATTCAATCCAATCTATTTCATATCAAAGTGAAGTAGGTAAATCCTAGCCTAGCATGGTGCACGTAATACAATTAAGGCAGTTAAGGCAAATAGAGCAATTTAGACAAGCAGACATGCTTCTCTAGGCTACAGCAGGTTTAGTTTCCAAACAGTGTAAGTAAGAAAAAGGAATAACACAATTTAAGGCTATTTTTAATAAAAACCCAGATTTCCAACAATTAGCTCAAGTACGCGCTCGTCACCTCACGTACAAGGCATTTCAGTTATCAAATATATCATATCCTAAGGGGAAGGTCCCCCACACAAGTTTAGGCAAGCCACTTACCTCGAACCGGCTCCAAAATCAACTCGAAACCACATGTTTGCCACGAGTATCCGACTCCAAATGGCCCAAATCTATTCAATTCAATTACATATCGTAAATAACATCTCAAGCAACTGATTCTACGATTTAATTCAAAGCTAAGACGCAAAATTAGGTAAAATGACCAAAACGCCCCTTAGGCCAATGTCTCGAAATCGGATGAAATTAGCATTTTCAGAACCCTCGTACTCTCACGAGTCTAACCATACAAAAATCTCTCAAATCGGAGGTCAACACCCACTCAAAACCCAATAAATCAGTCTAAGAAGTTCATCCAATTTTTTTCCAAATTTCTCCATCAAATTCGAAATTTAAAGGCTAGATTTAAGCTAGGGATCATGGAAATTGATCTAAGTTGGGTAGAGATCACTTACCCAAGTTGCCCAGGTGCAAAAGTCTTCAAAAATCGCCCCTCCCGAGCTCCCAAATTCGAAAATATGAAAATAGGCTTAAACCCTCGGATTGGAATTTTAATGGGTCTGCCCAGGTGTTGTTATATGCGATCGCAAGAGGAGGAATGCGATCGCGGAGAGTAAAAATTAAAGGCTCAGGAGTTGGCCTATGCGAACGCAGCTTAAGGCCTGCGATCGCAGAAGAGGAAGGAACAGACTTACACGATCGCGAACAAGGCCACGCGATTGCGAAGAGGGAAATGGTCACTGAGCCACCGGCTAAGTTTATGCTATGCGAACGCTAGAACTGGATTGCGAACGCGAAGAAGGGAGGGGCAGCACTATGCGATCGCGATCCAAGTTACGCAATCGCATAGAAGGAATTGACCCCCCTCCGGAAATACACTATGCGAACGCGGGGAACGGGCTGCGATCGCGAAGAAGAAAAGGTCTGCAACAGCTGAAGTGAAATTTCTGAAATTTCTAAACAACTCAAAATGCCCCGTTGAGCATCCGAAACACACCCGAGGCCCCCGGGACCTCAACCAAAACTACGGACATATCCCATAACATCATTCAAACTTGTACCAATCTTTAAACCACCTAAAGCAACGTCGGAAACTCGAATTAATCAAGGATTTGAGCCTAAGAACTTCAATTTCCTTCAAAATACGCTTTCGATCACAAACCTAACCAAACCACGTCCGAATGACCTGAAATTTTGCACACAAATCCCAAATGACATGACGGAGCTACTGCAACTTTCGGAATTCCGTTCCGACCCTCGGATCAAAATCTCACTATCGGACCGGAAACTTCAAAAATTCAAATTTCGGCATTTCAAGCCTAAATTAGCTACGGACCTCCAAAATACATTCCGAACACGCTCCCAACCCCGAAATCACCTAACGGAGCTAACGGAACCATCGGATTTCCATTCCGAGGCTGTCTTCACACTGTTCCGACTACGTGCAACTCCAACACTTAAGCTCTCATTTAGGGACTAAGTGTCCCAAAACTCAAAACCGAACATCCCGGCAAATCAAAATAGCAGAAATAAACTTGGGAAAAACAGTTAATAGGGGATCGGGGCGTAAATTCCAAAAATGACCGGCCGGATCGTTACACAAGTTCAAGTATTTGGATTTCGAAATTGCCAAGACTCCAATTGACGTGAGTTATGTACTTCAAAAGAATGAAGGTGAAAGTGACTCACAACTGGACTATGCAAGAGTATTAGGAAGTTTGATGTATATCATGAATTGTACGCGACCAGATATAGCATGTGCTATTAGCAAACTGAGTCGGTTTACAAGTAATCCCAATCAAATACATTGGATGGCAATGAAACGAGTTTTGGGGTATCTGAAACATACCCAAAATTATGCTTTGCATTATGACAAATATCCTTCCATGATCGAGGGATATAATGATGCAAATTGGATCACCAGATCATCTGAAGTTAAATCCACGAGTGGATATGTTTTCACAATTGGGGGTGGAGCAGTGCCTTGGAAATCATCCAAAAAAACGTGCATCGCCCGTTCTACAATGGAATCTGAATTCATAGCTTTAGATAAGGCCGGTGAAGAAGTTGAATGCTCCGGAATTTCTTGGAAGATATTCCATTTTGGCCCAAACCTTTGGCATCTATTTGTATACATTGTGATAGTCAAGCGGCAATAGGTAGGGCAGGGAGCGTTATATATAACGGGAAATCTCGTCATATTCGACGGAGACACAATACCGTTAGAAAACTACTCTCTAGTGGTGTTATCACAATTGACTACGTAAAGTCAAGAGATAACGTGTCAGATCCACTTATAAAAGGCCTATCTAGAGAGACAGTTGAAAGATCATCAAAGGGAATGGGGTTAAAGGCCTACGACAAGTCATCATGGCGGTAACTCTACCTAGCAGACTGGAGATCCCAAGAGCTAGGTTCAAAGATATTAAACAAAATTATGAATGACGGTTCAACATTGTCAACTAACCCAACCCATTCTCGTGACGAAGACAATGTTCAAAAACATTGTAAAGCATTAAGGCTTTTTGACGAGTCAATAAAACTTAAAGCTTTTTAATGATTTGCTAAGTCTGGCAAGATATGACCAGATAGTGTGTCTTTAGGATTACACGTTTAGGAATCACCTATGTGAGTGTGAAGTGTAAGCCGCTTCAAGGAGAATGAAAGTAAAGGCCTATTCTCTAAACACTCATGAAACCAGGCTGTGTTCATGGCTGAAACGAACACAACCGTGAGAACCATAGATGGTTAAGGATTGATTATGTATGTTGTCTAGGTATGCAACAAAGCTCGACGGTTCGAAGATATCAAATCTACCGATTGACCGAGTATATCCGATATAAGTTCACTACGAAAAGTTCAAAGGGAAACCTACTTATCCAGATGCAATCAATTCTTGCTTGTAAAACACACACACGTCCGTGCATTCCTTTGAGTTTATAGCCATTCCCCATTCATGTGGGGGATTGTTGGGTTTGTTATTAATAAATAATAATAAAAGAGGTGTGAATGAAAAATGGTGGGAAAAGAAATGGAGAGAAGTGAAATTTTGAATGAGTTCATTTCACTAATGCACTTTGTCCCTCATTGGTAGAAGGAAAGAAAATCTTTGTGTATATAAGCTCATCTTTTAGCTCTTAAAGAGCTAACAAGAAGGCAAGCCTCGCGTCGTCGTCGTCGTCGCTCGCTCGGCTTGGCTTCGGCTTCGGCTTCGGCTTCGGATTTGGATTTGGATTTGGTCAAAGATCGATTGATTGATTAATCTTTTTGGACAAAAAATTTTTCAAATATTTAATTAATTGATTAAATTAATTAACGAAAATTCAATCTGGAATAACCCACGACCCGCGACCCGGTCCTGTTCGGCCCGCTTTCTTTCCCGGATTATTCTAAATCCGTTTTAAACAGCTATGGCTGTTCTGAAAGGTTGCAAACCTTTTCAGAAATAGTACCAAATTGGCTATAAATATACCTTCTAATCCCAGAATATTTACTTACGAAATTTTCTGATAATCTTCTTCTTCTTCTGCACAAAAATTCCAGTGTGTTTTGCAGCCTTCGAGTGGTTCGCTGTTCATCGGCGTTTTTGGTACCAACACTCTGGTGAGTTAAATCGCCCTATCCTGGGAGGATATATTCCAAAACCTCGGGTACTTGAGGGGAATAATTTCCTTAAGGACACGCCGTGTATTCAGTGGGCTCGATTTGTTCCTATAATGTTTCAAAATTTATTTTGAAGTTTAAATACTGTTTTCAGAATTTATTTCTACTAACTTTCTGTTTTTGTTTTCAGAAAGATTATTGTTTTATTTATTTACAGCAATACAGATTAATAACATATAGTTGTGACCTCTTATATAAACAAATAATCTACTTAGGTTACATTACCATTAAAATCTGAAAGACATGTGTTAATAAACCCATATCAATATGCTTGATTCCGTTCTAATGTCTTCATGTTGGAGCAGAAGTATAACTGCTAGCACATTAACTGCAAATTCTATAACAACATTATAGTAATAGCAAGGGAGTATATAAGTGCACAAAGAAGTTCCTCATGATTTTCTCTTAGGTTGGAAAACTTGGAATGGATCTTTTTTACATTTAAGTTATAGAACAATTATTGGAATACTTAAAGAATGAGCTCTATCCATGTACTCCCTTCAAATCCTTCTATGTACAAGTAGATTGGTGAATGAATATCCGGTTTGCTAATGTTTAGTTTTGCAAAATAAGATGTGAGTACATAATATTTTACCATACCAATTTTTGCAATTTTTAGTATTTAATATATGTTTAATTTTAATATTTGTTTTTTTGACCTTTTAGTAGGATTTATATAAGAAAATTGAAAATAAAAAAAGTGCATATTTACGTATATTAGTTTTGTTTTCATTTACAAAAGAAAAGAAATCCACAAAAATATAATTTCCTCTAATTTTGATATTGTAGTTCTATCTTTCGTAATCTTTTTATATTTTTCAAGGTCTAAAAAGTTTTTGTCTCGCCATTTTGATTTAGTAAGGAGGAGTATTTTTATTTTATCTATTCTTTATATTTATATATTGAAAAAAAAGAAGAAACAATACTCCCTATTTTACCCCCACCTAATATATAATACTCATATCAGAAACCTAGAGAGCTAGCAGTAGCGGCAGAACGAAAAAGTACTTAGAGAAGCTGAGAAAATAGGAGGGCCTCCTTCTTCTCTTCTTCTTCCTCTCACATTTACCCCTCAAATTAGCTCTAAATCTCCACAAATTCGTACAAAAAAGGCAGCCATGTAAGAACCCAAAAATCAGCCATCTTCGCCCCCAAACCCAGCTGAAAACAGCTCCCAAAACCACCAAAAATCAGCTCCTTTCTTCCAGCAAAAACCTCCCCAAAACACCTTCATATCAGTCAAAAAACAACCCCAAAAACCCCAGCGAAAATCAGCCAAAAAGACCTCAAAACAATCACCTCTGAAAATCGGTCCAAATCTCAGTCAAAAGGCGGCCAAAACGCTGCAGAAGATAGCCATTATAGCAGCTCCAAATTACCATGTAAATACCCAAAAAATACCACCAAAACACCACCTAAAACCACCTGTGTCTTCACCATTTTGTTGTGCGAGATCGACTGTTGAGACGCCGGCGAGTTTCGGTCGAGGTCCGTCGGGATGTTTCTCGTTGCTTTGAATTCTCTGTACCAAAGAGGTATTGTAAACCATCTTGAGGTTCATATTGATATATTCATAAAGCTTCAAAGGTTCATTTCTTCCATTTTTATTTTATATTATATTACCGTGTTTATGGATATATATTGCTGTCTTGTGAAATCTATGTCAATCAAATGTGCCATCATTCTGTTTGTTTAGTTTTATTTAGTTGTTGAGTTTTCTTATTGGTTTTTGCATAATTGGAAAATTACTACCCATGTGTTTAAATTATGGCATTCTTTCTTAAAAGTTACTCCTTCGTCAATTTAGATTACACACTTTCCTTATTAGTCCTTTTAAAAAAGAATGATACTTTTCTATAATTGAAAATAATTCAATTTTGAACTTTTCATTTTATCCATTTTACGAGAAGCTTTTATAACCACACAAATATCATTGTCCCACAAGTTTTTTATCCTTAAGACCACAAGTTTCAAAAGTATTCCTCTTTTCTCTTAAACTCCGTTTCGAGTCAAATTACTTTATCTAAATTGAAACGGAGGCACTACAACAACAACAATCCAGTAAAATTCCACAAGTGGGGTTTTGGGAGGGTAGAGTACACAGACCAGGGTTTTGGGAGGGTATCCGAAAGACCCTCTTCTCGAGAAGAAGAAAAATAGACAATAGACAATTGATCAGTGACAGCAGAAGATAAAAAAATAGTAACAACATCGTAAGAAATAAAAAAACAGATTTAAAAGCAATAACAATAAGCAACAATACTACCACAGAAAATAGTGAGGAAATTACATAAACCACTAACAACCCACAGCGAAACATCAACAGGCCAACCCGGCTCCCGGAACAAACAGAAAAATAGATGTAAACGCTCGACTCCCTCCTAACCTACAACCCTAATGCTCGACCTCCAGCCCTTCCTATCCAGAGCCATGTCCTCGGAAATATGTAGTTGCGCCATGTCCTGCCTGATCACTCATCCCGATACTTTTTAGGTTGTCCTCTACCTCTCCTCGTACCCGCTAATACTAACCGCTCACACCTCCTAACCGGAGCATCTATGCTTTACACCTCCGAAACGGAGGCAGTACGTGTTTAAAATATTGGTTTAAATTTGATACATAATCTGTTGAGTTGGGTTTAAGTAGACTTAGAGGAGGAAGATTTGGGCAGATGGGTTTTGAAATAGAAAAGACAATTGAATTTGAGGTTTTTCATTTTTGAGGAAAAAACATAAATAGGCCATATTTAAGAAAAAATTTCAGTTACCTAGCAGTAGTTGGTATTCTACAAAAAAGGCACCTAAATAATTATATTTTTAGCAGGAAGCTAGAAATAAACCCAGAATCACGATTTAAAAAAATCTAACGCATTCAATTCCAAAAAAAAAAGAAAATTCAAAGCAGTTCCGTTTCTTCTCCTTAACTTCCTAAATTAGCGCTGAACTATATGAAGAGATTAATGCGTTTTCTGTTGCTATGTGCATATATGAGATTAGTACTCTATTTCATTTTGGAAGACATAGCTTATATTTATTTTCTAAAACTTTTATGAATCTTATTTGTTGCAGATTAACATGACTCTCCAACTTTTTGTCAAACAATATTGAATTGTACATTATGCGTATACAAATGATATAATTATATATACCATTGGTATAAAGTTTTATTATTTGCTGTATGTCAATATAATTTTTTATACAGTATAATGATGATATTAATAGTTTTATATATATATACACGCACACAAACACAATTATAATACTATGTATATATTTAATTATCTACTATTATTACATTAAAAAACAATATATACATACAATGGCTGAAGGATACAGTATACTCTGTATATTAATATACTAAAAACACCATTGTAATGGACTCTATTTCATTTTGGAAAACATATCTCATATNATATATATATATAATATATATATATATATATATATATATATTTTATTTATACTATTCATATAAATATTTAAAGTACCAAAAATATTCAAAGACTATTTGAATGCTAAAATAAAGGAAAGAAATTTAGAATAGAAAAAGAGAGTGATTTGAATGCTAATTCAAGCAACTAAAATTTAGAATAGGAAATATGAGGAGAGAGAATATAANTAGAATAGGAAAATATGAGGAGAAGAGAATATAAAAAGATAAATAAGGATAAAACTAATCCCATAATTTATGTTATTCATTAATTGTTTCCATAAATCTTTACGGTATGCTGATATTGTAAAAGAATGTGCTATATATGGAATAAACAAAAATTAATACCATTTTCTTAAATACTTTTTAAAAGATGCCCCGTAGTGTATTTTTCTCTTCATTTTTGGACTCGAGTAAGCTAAACCATGTCAGGCCCAATTAATAAGAGCTATAGTTAGCCCAATCTTAGTAAGTACATTTAGCATGATCCATTTTCTTTTATAGATAAATGCCTAACAATTGTGAACGCTTCCACCAATTTAGATTTAATTAATAATCCCCACTTTATTTTTTGAAGTTGGAACACCAGGACACGGAGAACCAAAATTAATTCCACGAGGCTTCTGAATTTCCTATGAAATTATAGACAAGACAAGCATTGCATTACATAAGAAAAAGAAGAATGAGCAAAGCAGGTACACCTGATTTTTTCTACAGGGAAGCTCAGCGCCTTGGTTATGTTGCTCGCTCTGCATTCAAGTTGCTTCAGATGCAGAAACAGTACAAATTGATAACCCCTGGTTCTTCTGTACTCGATCTTGGGTGTGCTCCCGGCGCATGGCTTCAGGTGGCATGTCAGAGCTTGGGCCCACTGAAAAATGGAGGTGCTGTTGTCGGAATTGATCTCAAGAAGGTAAAGGTTCCTCCTATGCACTGTGATTCAAGAGTTCAAACTGTTTGTGCTGATGTTCTCAACCTTCCCAAGAACAAACTCAAGGCTCTTTCTCCTCAGCAAAACGGATTTGCTGTCATACTGTCTGATATGTGCCCCTTAGTTTCTGGAATCAGCATAAGAGATGCAGCTTTATCCGCTGAACTGGGTATGCGAGCCCTTGATTTAGCTGTTGGCGGGGTTTCCCTATTGCATTCAGATGATACTGTACAAGGGGAAGGACGATCAGAGTGCTCAAATTCAACCCCAAAGAATGATGGTTTACTGCGACCTGGGGGCCATCTTGTCATTAAGCTTTTAGAAAGTGAAGATGTGAAAGAGTTTGGGCAATTATGCAAACCACTCTTCAAAAAGGCAGCATGGTTGAGGCCAAATGCAACTAGGTCATGTTCAAAGGAGATATATCTAATTTGTCAAGGATTGCTGTGAATTGAGAATATTTTGTATCAATATCAAGCTCCCAATATGCCTGGATCATGAATACAAGTTATACATCTTACATATATGATTCAGCAGAAATGCTGTCTTCCTGAGTTGATCGTGATGCGGATTAGAATACGAGGAGACGGGTGTTTTAGCAAAAGTCAAAAATATATTTTGGGTTTGTTTGATTATGTTAAGATTATAATTGTAATAAGGCAAATAGATTAGTCATTGGATGTTATTGTCACTTCCAAAATGTGGATAGATGACGTGTAAAACTTAAAAAACTACAGAGATCAATTCCCCGGTAAATTCCCTCTACGGAGCTGTTGAATAAGTATCTGAATTAGTGCCATTTTAAACTAGAAAGATCTGAAATAATATTATCTTTAAGTATGAGATCTATTGAGCAAATTATCATATTGTTGCCACTTAAAACAATGCCAGATGATTTCCTGTAATTATGCCTATGGTACTCATATATATATTTGAAATAAGAGATTTTAACTAACGGTATTAATGTTGTGTAGTATTTCCATCGTACATGGGTATTAAGTGTTGGTTTTAGAAATACAGGAGGTGTATCTCCATTCTTTACTTTAGATTTGCAGCAAATGAATAAGAATTGGAGCTTTGCTTAATTATTGTACTGGTTGCTTTCAGTTTTCTATTACTACTTATTACCCCCCAACTTGACACATAAACAATTGAATGCCCGAAAATTATGCCGTTGATTGTCATAGGATTGCTCCTTTAATTGTTCTTATCTAACTTTTCGGTTTTGTCGTTTTGGGCCTTTTTTTTTTCTTTTTCTTTTGATACAATACAAATGTTGGGAAGAGCACCACCAATAGAAAAAGAAAATAACCGTACGTCCATGCTTTATTTTTTGAAGTTGGAACACCAGGGCACAATAAAAAGAGCAAAAAACAAATAAACCAGCTGGCCTGCCGAGGCAAAGCTGGGTAAATTATGCTAAAAACCCTTATAATATCACTCAATTTCAAGTACACACTCATATTTTTAAATCAAACACTTAATGCCCTTGTACTATGAAAATCCTACACAAAAATTAACACTGGTAGTGGTCTGTTAAAGTCTCTTATTCAAACCTATGATAACACCGTTACTGATCCGTTAGAATCTCTTATTTATGAGTACCGAAGGCATTTTCTATTCCACTAATCCAATATTTGGCGTTAGTGATCCCTTTTCCTTCTTAGATGGATCACTAATGATACATGGAAAATAACCCTTCCCATATTTCTTTACCTCTTTAATTTGCGACAGTAATTTGGGAGCTAATTTTGGATCAGTAAGAAACAAGGGACAACTGCAGAGATAAAATCTGTTGAACAAACATCTGAATTAGTAAATCTGAACTAATATTATCTTAAGCATGAGATCAGATCTATTGAACAAACTATTGTACTGTTGCCATTTCAAACTATTACATTAAGAACTTCTTCTCTAACTCAAATGCAAGATGATTTCCTGTTAATATCACCATGGTTGATTTTGTTCATAAACATGGGTAGTATTGAATATAGATCATTTACAATATCTAGTGCACTTCTGTTTTGTGGTCTCATGCCTAGATAATTAGGATTTGCATTTCTTACGGTAGTATCTGGTTCCTTTGCTTGAAACTTGAAGTGACAGAAGAAGAGAAGCAGAAAAATAAAAAAGAGAAAATCATCCGAGCAATATAAAATAAGTGACAACTTTGTCCATTCATTAATTATTATTGATTTGAAATAAGTGACTTTTAACAGATAACTAACGGCGTTAATGTTGTGTAGGATTTCCATCGTACAGGGGTGTGAAGTGTAGATTTTAGATGCAAAAGGTGTGTCTTGAAACTTAGTGATATTATAGGAATGTTTAGCGTAATTTTTATTGAAAGCACAAAGGTAGAGAGAAGAAAGAAGATGGCATGCCTGATCAAGTAAAGTATCCCTAAAGTACATTGCAGCAAGAAACACATAGTTAGATAAGACTTTAATCCAGATAACTAAGGAGCCAAGCAACAAGAAAGAAGAAAACAATAGATGGCTGAAGCAGCAGTTTCCTATGTTGCAGAGCGGCTTGTTGATCTTTTCCAAAGAAAAATTGTTTTCCTGAAAAGTGTCCAACAAGAAGTTGAAGGAGTGCGAAACGAGCTCGTCCGTATGAAGTGTTTCCTGAAAGATGCAGATATGAAGCAAGAGGAAGAAGAAGCCGCAACAGTCCGCAACTGGGTATCTGAAATCAGATCAGTTGCCTACCATGCTGAGGATGTGATTGAAATATTCATCCACCAAGTCGAGTCCCAAGAACGACAGAGCTTCTTCATCAAGTGTGCCTTCTATCCTAAGAAACTATACTGGCTTTACAGGGTAGGGAAAGAGATTGAGTCGATCCAGACCACAATTCTTGAGATATCCAACAGCCGTGAGAGATATGGAATCAGGCATATTCAAGGGCTCGGATTCGGGGAAGGATGTAGCACAACACGGGAGAAGATGCGTGAACTACGACGCTCCTCGCCCTTGTTTGCGAACAAGGATGCTGTTGGCCTAGAGAAGCATGTGAATTCTGTTGTGGCCATCCTTCTGAAGGAGGACAAACGGCTCCGTGTTGCTTCAATTGTGGGTATGGGAGGCATTGGTAAAACGACTCTTGCTAAAGAAGTTTATAACCAAACTCAAATCAGAGACAAGTTTGACACTCGGGCATGGGTTTATGTATCTCAAGATTATAAACCGGCGAAGATCATCAAGGAACTCATTTTACAACTGGCAAATCCCGAAGAAGATAAAGTGAAGATTGTGGAAACAATGGACAAACTGTCAGAGGCTGGATTGGAGGAAATGCTCCATAGGCGCTTGAAAGACACATGCTATCTCATTGTTCTCGATGACATCTGGACCACAGAAGCATGGGATCTTCTTGCTAGGTCATTTCCAGACAATGATAATTCAAGTAGATTGCTACTTACCAGCCGCAGAAAGGAGGTTGCTTTGCATGCAGATGCCCATACTATACCATATGAACTTAAAGTATTGAACGAAGAGGAGAGCTGGGAACTCTTTCTGAAGAAAGCATTTGCCGAGGAGAGAGAATGTCCACAGGACTTGGTGGACGTTGGGCAAGAGATTCTAGAAAAATGCGATGGCTTGCCACTGGCAATCACTGTTATAGGAGGCCTCTTAGCTGGGAAAAAGAAGCAAAGAAGTGAGTGGCAGAGAGTACAGAGAAACCTCGGTTCGCACCTTGTTGGAAGCCAAACCTATGGCGTATCAACAATTCTGGCGTTGAGTTATCATGACTTACCTCCCCATTTGAAATCTTGCTTCCTCTACTTAAGCCTTCTCCGAAAAGACAAAGACATCCCTGTGCAGCAACTAATGCACATATGGATCGCCCATGGTCTTGTTCAGCAGAAGGGAGAAGAAGAATTAGAGGACATTGCTGAGGATTATCTTGATGAGCTCATTTGCAGAAATATGGTTCAAGTGATCCAAGTTAGAGCAGATGACAGAGTTAGAAGTTGCCGGCTCCACGATCTCCTGCGAGACTTTTGTATCATGAAAGCAAAGGAAGAAATATTTCTCGAGGTCCACGAGAAAGTAGATAATCAGTCTATACCCCTGTCTGAACCTCGACACCGGGTCCTTTACTGTCCAATCGAGAGGTACAAATATTTAGGAAATTCAAAATCATATATAAGATCCCTTCTATCCTATGATTCATCTGCTAAACTAGTTAACCTTGATTGCATTTGTAAAAGTAGTTTCAAACTTCTCAAAGTGCTATACATAGACTCTCCTGGTTTAAAAGTTATCTCAGATAGTATCGGAAAACTATATTCGTTGAAGTACTTAGGCATAGGATGGAAGACACGCATAAAGAAGCTTCCCCGTTCGATAAGTCAGTTGAAAAACTTGGAAACGATTGATATGCCCATGTCTAGGTATTATTCTGTGCTGGTTCCTAATGTCTTGTGGAAGTTAGAGAATTTACGGCATCTACTCGGTTATATAAATTCCCCCAGTGTACTGAAGATTGACCTACTCAACAACCTCCAAACTTTAGGCAGCATACCTGTTCATCACTGGATGCATAATGAGAACCTGACAAGAATGACTAATCTCCGAAAAGTTGGTTTATTCATTGAAAGAGATGATAACCTAGACATGGATCGATTATGTGATTCACTAGCGGATCTTGAGAGCCTCCAATCCTTGTGCTTGGAAGTAGAGGATAGCTTGCAGATATCTTTGCTTGCTGGTTTATCTAAGTTGAGTCATATTGTGAAGCTTAAGTTGAAGGGACGACTAGCCTCGATGCCAACTCATCCTTGTGTATTTCCACCTAATCTTCGCCAGCTCACTTTGGTCAACTCCAAGATCCACCCAGATTCCATTTTGGTGTTGGAGAAGTTAACAAACCTATCAGTTCTAAAACTAATTCAAGCTTTTGGTCATCTAGATGACAGTATAACAATATCGGAGAATGGGTTTCGTGGACTCAAGTTTCTGAGGGTGGATCAGCTAATGTCTATGCAAGAAATGAATCTAGGGAAAGGTGCAATGCCAGAACTCAAGTGCCTGCAAATCTTCAAATGCTACTCGTTGAGGATGCTCCCAGAAGAGTTGATATCATTTACCAACCTTGAGAAGCTGGAGATTCGAGGAATGCCTGAAGAATTTTGTGCTAGGCTTCAAACTTCAGATTTTCACAAACTCCAACATATTCCCAATATTGTGGTTGGACATACTAGTACAGATTATGAAGAAGAACTGGAGCGTGTAGCTATTCTTAGAAAGATCAGGGCGCATGCACAGTCAATAAGAGCAGCATATTTGTTCAAGGAAGCAGGCGAGAGGAGGTCAAATGTCAATAGTACTGATTGATTTTTTTTTTTAACTTCACAGTTATGTGCTTTCTACTAAGCAAGAGGAAAATGTGACTATTACCAGTTCAAAACACGCATCTAAAGAGCATTTTTGCTCTCCATTAACTTTTTATAAGTATATTTTTTGTCACTAGAATAACAAGTATCTAATTCTACTTTTCGGTTATGCACTAGGTTTGAGTATGTTTGGTATGATGAAAAATGGTCGTTTAACTATTTACCTACGTTTAGTTACCTTGAAATCTTTGAGAATGTTTTCTCCACGAAAAATGTTTCCTGCCAAAATAGAAAAACAAAGACTTCCATGGCCTACGAGCAAAAGTCATTCTCTTTTTAACAAATTTTACAACTCTCGTCCAATCATATTTGTTTCAATCCAGACGCAATTTCAGGATTAAAATTTTATGGGTTCCAGAGGCGAATTCATGAATTTTTGGGTTAAGGGATTCAGAATCTAGGATAGTGGCTCTACTTAAAATACAATAACCATTAAATGAGTATCAATTTTCAATATAAA